TCTGCCCGCCTTTGGCCTCCCAAAGTGCTGGGATTACAGGGTTGAGCTACTGCGCCCGGCCAGATCTGTCCTTTCTTTCTAATAACGTGATTTAATTATAACTGGAGAAATGAGAGCATAGTCAATGGGTTAATCTTTGCTAGGTTAGGAAACAAAATCAACCTTTTATGGCAAAATTTATAATCTTAGGTGAATAAATACATTTCATACCAAGAATGTTTAAACAAATTTAGTTTCCTATAACAAACATTCATAGATTCATGCTTAACAGTGATTTTCCTTAGATTTATGAAACCAAATTTTTCAACGTAGAAAAGATTTTGACTGACAGACTTTCACAGAAACTCAACTTCATGATGACATGTTACAAAAGAAATATAGGTTCTACTTAAGTACTTGGGGCTTTTATGTAATTATTTGCTAATTTTCCTTGTGTTTCTTTATAAAGGATAATGCTGAATTCAGTGTTTGCATGCTCAAAAGCAATGTGCCAAATATTTTCTTAAATCTGAAAATATCTCATTATAGTTTTCTTATCAATCATTAGTTGGAACTTGTGGAATCTTGTTTCAACTCTTTCAATCAAGGCTGAGTTACTGATATTTGTGAGCAGCACTAGTACAGGGCACATTTCATTTTATGAAGTGCTCTTATGCCATTTTTAAACCTTTTATTACAGAAAATTTAAAATATGTACAGGTGTGATCAAAGCAGTGTGATGAACTCCCATGTACTCAACACCCAATTTCAATGATTATTAATTCAGGGCAAATTTTGTTTCACCTAAACGAGAGTATATCAACAGCAGCACTATTGACTCATTGAATGAGATAATTCTTTGTTTGGGGGGACTGTCCTGTGCATTGTAGGGGGTTTCACAGCATCCCTGGCTTCTACCCACTTAGATGTAAGTAGCACTCCTTTCCCAGCCAGGGTGTGACAATGGAAAATGTTCCCAGACCTTGTCGACTATCCTCTGGGAGCAAAATTGCCCCCAGTAGAGATCAGTAGAGAACCACTGATCCATAACTCATTCACACCAAAGACACAGAGAAATGCTATTTCAGTTTCCTGACACTTGTGGTCTCTATTCCGTGGGCCACTATTCTGAATAGTGCCACTTTATGTAAGGCCACATGACCAAGTTCTTGATAAGCAGGGGCGGTCATTCATGGACTTCTGAACAGCCCCATGCAGAGTAAGTGCAAACACAGGCTGAATTGAATTTGTTCACAATTCCTACTGGTTTCTGCACTTGTTTCCTACAAGGAAGTTTGAGATTTTCCTACAAGTGTGAGTTGTTTTCTGCAAGTTGTTTCCTACAAGGAATTTCAGGTCCTGCTTCCCATGAGGTGGTCGGCCTGATTAGGAAAGGGAAAGGGTGCGGCTCTCTGTGGACCGAACTTCTCTCACCTGATCACACGCCTCCTCCCCCTGGTGTCTTTTAAGCAGTGTGAACTCAGGGCTGAGCTGCCAGGCTCTAAGTTCTCTGTGGAACATCTTGGGGGGCAAGTCTACTTTGCTCTTCTTGTAAATTAGGTGTAATTGAAACCCCAGTGGCGTAGCATTTCTCAACATTTCCAAGCCTGAGGGTGCAGGGGAGCAGATCCTCTCTGTTTTGGGACTTCAGTGAGGCAGGAGCTCTGGCTGGTAGTGTGACCATTTGTAATGCTTCTTGATTGGCTAATAGGGAAACCTGTGTGAGCCTAGGGCTGTTCTCAGGGTGTTATTTACCTCTCCGTGGTTAGAACAGAACAGGCAACTGGTGAGAACGGCGAAGCCACAGAAAACACTGGGGTGAGTTTTGCTTTGTGACCATGGGCTTCTTTTGTAGTAATGATTGATTCCGCCTTGAAAGTAAAGAGAATGGTTCCAGGAAGTGTACAGCACATGACAAAGGGCTTTCATGTCTGTCTGGTCTTTGAGGCAAACACAAGTGCTAGGCTCTGGGATTCAGAGACGGAGAAGGTGTGGTGTTAGTCTCTGGGGAACTTTCTTCCTCAATATTTACTGAACACCAACTTACCAAACACTGTGCTGAGAAGGCTGGGAAGATACATAGCCAGTATTATTCATCCTATCTACATTCATTGAATGCTATTGCATGGCTGGCACTGCAGTAAGCATCAGAGGTGGGGTGGTGGGCAATGATCATCTCTGCCCTAAGGAAACCCATACTCCAGTGGGCAGATGGCCACACAAAAACAATGATAATTCAGTGTGGTAAGTGCTGGGATCCCAAAATGTCCTAAGAGAACAGGGGTCGATGGCAGAGGCGGCCTGCAAACTGGGGAGATGGCTTGGAGAGGAATCCAGGGCAGGACGTAGGACTGGCCCTTAACTTATCCTGGGATGGAACTGGGAGTGGGATTTATGGCGCCCATCTGTGATGCAGGCATTACCTGCATGTTACAGTTTGGACCTTGAGTCTCTGAGAGGTTAAAGAACTTTCTAGATCTTATACAAACACTCCCTGAAAAATATGACTGTAAATCCAGGAGTCCAGACTGTTAGTCCTCTCTTCCGTGAGCAGCTTCTTGGTAAAGTTGCCCAGCTGATCTGAGGGTGTGGGGCTGGCGTCTGTCCTTCCTTTGTTTCTGTAACTATATGTTCTATCAGTGATTTCCTTCTGGTTCATGGTGGTCTTTAATCATCTGAGATTGTCCCAATCACGGAAGCAAGGAAGCTTTGTGGTGTGGGTGGAAATGATCTGGCTCCCAGGCTCAGGTGGCCTGCAGTGTTACTGTAGGAGAGGCTATGTGGATATACAAAACCTCAGCCACCTTGGACAGAGTTCAGCGTGGACGGGGACAGCCTGCCAATCAGTCAGTGAGCAGTCTCAGTGATGCCCTGAGGTGTTGAAAGCCTGGGCTATGGAGAAGGATGTGTCAGAGCATGAGGGGGCACTGGGATGTGTGTGTGTGTGTGTGTGTGTGTGTGTGTGTAGGGGGGTATTGGACCTTTGTTGCTACTGGAGGATGTGATTGGAGAAAGTGAAAGCGCCAGTAAAGAGGAGAACTGTACATGGATTGAGTTGAGCTGGGCCCTTGGAAGGGGACAAGCTCACCAAGTGACCAAGTGTAGAATGTGAGAATTAGAGGGAGAAGCAGAAATAAGAGATGTTGATTGTCAAAGGAGGTCCACCAGGGAGATCTCTTCTAAAGACTCTGAATAGTATGTGGAGAGGTTGAGGACACTGTTCTGCAAACCAAAGATAGAAAAGAAGGCCAGGAGCAGTGGCTCATGCCTGTAATCCCACACTTTGGGAGGCTGAAGTGGGTGGACTGCTTCAGCTCAGGAGCTTGAGACCAGCCTGGGCAACATGGTGAAACCTTGTCTCTAAAAAAAATATAAAAATTAGCAAAGCATGGTGGCACATGCCTGTAGTCCTATTACTCAGGAGGCTGAGGTGGGAGGATTGCTTGAGCTGGGGGAAGGCTGCAGTGAGCCGAGATTACACCACTGCACTCCAGCCTGGGTGACAAAGTGAGTCCCTGTCTCAAAAAAAAAAAAAAAGGAAGTGGCATGAAGGAAAGCCATAGCCAGAAGATAATTTGAAACACTCAAAGGCAATAGAAAGACATCTAACATGGAGACAGTAACACTATCCTGGCTGTTCCACATTGTCCAATGACAGGACTTACTAACTTCCTAATAGAGCTCCTCCTCTAATCTATTTCCACTGGACAGCCCTTCCCATACTTTTGTTCTGTATACTACAGACTTTGATCCTGCAGACAATGGGGAATCATCAAGTATGTTCATCAACTAAAAGGAAAAACACTTTGGGACTGTTAGGGTCCCCAAAGGCCCTAACAGTCCTTCACAAATTGGTACTAATGTCTATCTACAGCTTTAGTTTTTGCTATTCTCTCCTTTATTCCAGCCACACACAAGGCATTTGTAATTGCCTTCTTGGAATGCTCTTCCCTTCTACACATAACTAACTCCTACTCATCTTTCAATTTCCAGCTCACAGGCATCTCAGCTATGCAAGGGCCTTCATGTAATTCACCCACTCAGTGAAGAAGTCTTTTGTATCATTTCAGATCACACCACCCAAATTGCTGCCTCTTGGTGACAACCTCATGACTAACATACACAATGTGACTGAATTCATTTTTCTGGGACTTTCTCCCAACCAGGAGGTGCAGAGGGTTTGCTTTTTGATATTTCTGTTCTTGTACACAGCAATTGTGCTGGGGAATTTCCTCATTGTGCTCACTGTCACAACCAGCAGAAGCCTTGGTTCCCCCATGTACTTCTTCCTCAGCTGCCTCTCCTTCGTGGAGATCTGCTACTCTTCCACTACAGCCCCCAAGCTCATCTCGGATCTGCTGGCTGAAAGGAAAGCCATGTCTTGGTGGGGCTGCATGGCACAGCTTTTCTTCTTGCACTTCTTTGGTGGCACTGAGATTTTCCTGCTCACTGTGATGGCCTATGACCGCTATGTGGCCATCTGCAAGCCCCTCAGCTACGCCACCGTCATGAACCGGCAGGTGTGTGCTGTCCTTGTAGGAACAGCATGGGTGGGAGGCTTTGTGCATTCATTTGCCCAAATCCTTCTCGTCTTCCACTTGCCCTTCTGTGGCCCCAATGTGATCAACCACTATTTCTGTGACCTGCTTCCCCTTCTCAAACTTGCCTGCTTTGACACCTTCCTCATTGATCTGCTGATTGTTGCCAATGGAGGCACCCTGTCTGTGGTCAGTTTTGGGGTCCTCTTAGCATCCTATATGGTCATCTTGCTCCATCTGAGAACCCAGAGCTCTGAGGGGCGGCGCAAAGCCCTCTCCACCTGTGGGTCCCATGTTACCGTGGTTATCTTGTTCTTTGGACCCTGCATCTTCATCTACCTGAGGCCTTCTACCACTCTGCCTATAGACAAGGTGGTGGCTGTGTTCTACACAGTGATAACCCCCTTCCTGAACCCTGTCATCTACTCCCTGAGAAATGCTGAAATGAAGAAGGCCATGAAGAGGCTGTGGATTAGGACACTGAGACTAAATGAGAAATAGAGGCTGAGTCTTGTTATTGATACTTGGGTTTAGAATGACTGTTGAGCCCAAACCGAAGGAGCAGAATAGGTTGAAGGAAAGTTCACAGGACCTGTTAGTTCCAGATTATTCTACCTGGCCTCTCTCTTTAAAAAGTTCATTTTCATAATTTGAGTAATATTTCCTTTTGTGGAAGTACTAACTTTTTTACCACCATAAACAACACTGTAGTAAATATTCTTGAACAGACATCTTCAACCATACTTCTGACTTTCTTTTAGGCTTATTTCCTAGAGTGAATTTAGTGTTAGAGTGTAAAGACCTTTGGTGCACAGTGTTACACTGAGTCACCTATCTTGTGAAAGTGCTCTTGACAGAATAGAATCCTGTCATTAAACACTTTTTTTTTGGATAAGAAATATGATTTTACATTGTTTCAAAGTATCTTTCCTCAGGATACCTAGGGGTGTTAATTACAAATAGAAAAATGTAACTTTATAGCCCCTCCCCTCTAAACAATTGCCCAAAGTTAATATCACCAGAAATGAGACCCATTGATGCCATGTGCCTCTTGATATGGTACATGGGAGAGACACACAATATCATTATTGTGCTATTCTTACCAAGAATATATAACCTGAGTCTAATCATAAAAAAACACAAGGAAAGCCCAAACAAAGAACATTCTGCAAAATTACTGTCCTTCAGTCTTCACATGTGTAAAGATAAAGAAAGAAGGAAGAATTACTCAAGATAAAAAATAGGTGACAAGTAAAGGCAACATGTGATCCTGGATTGGGTCTTGGATATTAGATAAAGGACATTTGTGGGACAAAACTCTGTAAATGAGATAATAAAATTACATGAGTGTTAATTTCCTGAGTTTGATCATTGTACTGTGTTTGTCTCAAATCATGTTCTTGGATTAGGGAATTGCTTATTGAGGTATTTAGAGATAAAGGGACATGATGTTTGCAGCTTTCAAACATTTCAGAAAAATTGTCATTTTTATTGTGTATCTTTAAGGTGAGCAACATACTGTTTTGATATACCTACATGATACACAATGAAATTATTAGTCAAGCAAATTAACATACCTATCACTTTGCAGAGTTTGCTTTTTCTTTTACGGTAAGATTACCTAAAATCTACCTCAACAAATTTCCATCACAGAATACTATATTATTTACTAAAGTCCTTATGTTGCACGTTAGATCTCTAGACTTATTTATTCTACATAAGTACAAGTTTGCATCCTTTGACCTACTTCTCCACACTTCCACTGTATCAGAAAAATTCTACCCATCTGTTTGTCTACATATCTATTTATTGAGAGAATGAAGGATAAAGAAAACATGGCAAAATACCAATATTTGGGAAATCTGGATTAAGGGAAAACAGGAATTCTTTGTTCTTTATTGGAACTTTTTTGTAAGTCAAATCATTTTATAATAAAAAGTTAATAATGGGGGAGGGGTGAGGGATAAGAAATTATTTAATGGTTACCATGTACACTATTTGGGTGATGGCTACACTAAAAACCAGACTTCACCACTATGCAATATATCTGTGAAACAAAACAACATTTGTACAACTTAAATCTATAACAATAAAAATAAAGTTTTGTAAATTAGAAAGACATCTTACTGTTGTTTAATTTGCATTTTTAATTTTTGTGACGGTGAACGTTTTCATATTTAATTGGTTTTGAGCCTTATTTATAAAGTTTTCAATGTTTAAAAGCTTACATTTCTTTATAGTAAAATCTATCAGTTTTAAGTTTTATATTTTATTTTCCCCCTTTTATTTTTAATTGACATGTAATAATTGTACATATTTATGGGGTACAGAGCGATATTTTGACACATACACACAATGTAAAATGATCTAGGATAATTAGTTTTTAAAATGATTTATTCCATTGTTTGTGTGTTTAGATTATCCTACACCATTGATTAGAGACATATTTTCTTTGAAAAATTACTTAAATTTATTTATTTATTAATTATACTTTAAGTTCTAGAGTACATGCGCACAATGTGCAGGTTTGTTACATATGTATACATGTGCCATGTTGGTGTGCTGCACCCATTAACTCGTCATTTACATTAGGGATATCTCCTAATGCTATCCCTCCC